TTGTAATTCATTTGCTTTCACCCAAATTCCACTCTTGCAATCAAACGGACCATAAATTCAATTTTTATAGGCAGTTGAAATCTACATTAATTTTCCTTATTAATTTGCAGTAAAATGCGAACATACCGATTTTTCATATACATCAATTTGTATACAATTTAAAGATTATTTTTGAACGCTGAATTTGACTCTTATTTTTTTTTATTTGTTATTATTGTCAATTGTTATTGCGCGATATATTTTAGAAATAAATTTAAGAAGAAATTATATCATTTCATGTTTTATGATATTTGATATGTTGTGTGTCATATTTTAACGTCTCTAACATATAAATTTGAAATAATACGATTTATAATGAAAAAATTGGGTTATGACAATTTAATTAAAATATTTGATTTTACATATTTTAAAAGAAATAATATTTGATTGAATAATTATGCAGTATGTAGATTGTAGAATTAATAAATCAAAAAGCACTTTACAAATTATGCTCAATTTAATGCCTACAACACTTTTATTGACAATAATCTCAGCGTTTTTTTTTTTCTTTTTTGTAGTAACTATTTTTAGAAAAACTCTATTTATAAAAGTTCTATTGATAAAAGCTCTACTGTCACAACATTTGTGCCAAACGGATCCATAGAGACCGTTCTTTTTGTGTTTTGAATTCATTTTGAATTTTGTATTTTGAGTGTCCATTTTAAGATTGTTGAATATATGTTCTTTTTGGCATTTTGAGAAATTATTTTGAAAACACCCAAAACGCGTTTTGAAAATTTTGACTCGATTATAACTCAAAACACTCAAATGTCGTTTTGGGTTTTCTTTGTAAATTTTTAACTTGTTTTCAAAAAGGCGTTTTCGAAAATAGGAAAGAGAACGCGTTTTCACTATTTTGAAAAATCGAAAACAGAAGACGACTTGAAAATGGTAAAGAGAACATGCCCTCACTCTTCAGGATTTCTTGTTTGTAAGAGTAACTCAATCTAAGTAGTTTAACACTCCCAACTCAAATTTATTGTGAATAAGATTTAGTTCTTTGTTGTTAGTTGATGCGTAATCCTCCATTGAACCGTACATACGTGACATTTTGTTCTTTCCAAGAATGGAACACCAGTTAGCGGAGACAAGTAGGATGTCTTGAAAGGTTGGTCCCCCACAACCTAACCTGGGCTATAAAACCTTTTATACAAGACAACATCAATTAGTGATTCAAAATTGTGCTGCCTCATCATCTAAGGATATAGATAAGAGGCATACACGAGAAACTAGCACATAGAAACAAGAGTTGATGGAGTTTTTTCGTCTTTTTCTCCTAGCAATGTTTGTCCTATGGACCCCCTTTGTTTCTTGTAACTAATTTGAAGTTCTTCCCCACAGTGCAAACTTTCTGTTGCTCGCAGAAATGGGAATTTTTAATTTGATGGTCTATTGTTCACACAATATGTCAGGAATTGTGATTAGGCCTAGAGAAGGGAGGTTCTGGGAATTTTTTTTCCCGGAGGATAGGTTTTACGTCTTCCGTAAAATTTTGCGAGTACCAATTTTTGTTACATAATTAAAATATATTTTGGCCATTGGGTGATTTTGAGGTGCTGGTGGTACGAAAGAAAAGAGGGGTAATCTAATATGGTTGTTGTCGTGAGTGGTACTGGATTTAGGGTGTTTAGTAAGACTTTTGAAAAGTCGAAAACTGATTCTAAAACTAAGAAGTTGTTTTGAACATACTTGGATAATTTTTTGAAAGTACTTTGTCAGACTGAAATAATTTTTAGAAGAAGCTGACTTAAGCTAATTTTTCCGTAAAGCTCTTCTACGGAAGGTAAAAGCAAAAGTAGAAACCCTACCAAATAGTTTCTTAGTGATTTTGTACCTTTTAATAGGTCTAGCAATGAACGGAGCGAAGTCAAAAAATGGATTCATGTAGCCCATCTCCAAATTTAGAGGAATAATGTTTTGTTGTTATGGAGTAGTATTCGTTTATTGGAACAATAACAAGGCTGCAGTGGCGGAGCCAGCACCCGGCGAGCCATAGCAGCTGCTTGTGCTTATTCTGTTAGAAAATTTGTTCACTCATTCATTGAGCAGCCGTCGTGCGTTCTTCCTTGCTCAGCTGGATCTGCCCTAACCCAGATGAATTCCTGGATATGCTACTAAACAAGGGTGTAATGAAATGCAAGAAAAGAAGTTCATATTTTCATCATTTCTATTGTTCAGCAGTGGCATATCTAGTAATTTAGAATGTTTAGTATATCTAGCAATGAACTAAGTAGTGGAGAATGACTAATTTAGCCGACTACAATTTATTAAGAGCAATGTTGTTATTGAACACGTTGATAGTATCAAGCTTATGGGTGAAATGCAAGACATCATATCAACATGCTTGTTTCCCATCACGTCTACTTTGGTGCAAGCTCTTGCCAACACTCCTCTTGAAAAACGAAACAAAAGCAAAACATGATTTACAAGGCTCAGTTTGTTGGCCTTATAAGCGTTCGAGTGCCTTTTCTAAGTCGTTTTGAAGAGCGATTTCCACTTAATTTGCCAATAGTGTCTGATAGTCATGATAGAAATTGTCTCATGATTGTTATGGAGAAGGGAGGTAGTCCTATCAAGGCCATTGAATGAATTATTACCTTCTCAATATCGACGGTTTTCTATGATATTCACCAACAATTAGACAATAACTTGTGGGGTGGGGGGCCATCCAGCAGAACTTGAAAAGCAGAGTTCAGTGGGTGAATCTATGAGTTAAAGCAAAACTTTAGAGCCCTATAAACCACTTTAAAAAATAAGTGTCCTCGAAGTTATAAGAACATTTTGAAAGAATCTCCATGGTCTAATGCGTAACAATGTGTTATGAGCACATCGGTTAAAACTCATTTTCAAAACTGGTTTGAGCTCAAAAGTCCTAGCCGGGTGACTCATCACGACTAATCTTTTGCTGGTAGTAGCCATTTCAGGTCACACCATTTGCTAGTCTCTAAGAAGTCATGTTCTACGTTCTAAAACCACTTTAACAAACACAGGATAGAACTCAGGAATGAAACTAACCTACAAAACAAGCATATTTTAAGCAATGTGAAATTCAAAAGTAGTCGTTACGGTATTTTTACCGCATCCTAAAGTATTAGAATTACAAGCATCATTGGTGGACCAAGCATCAATGGTGTTGGAGAAAGGCTTCACAAAATGGAATAACAATTGTCACAAAAGAACAAAAAGAGATAATGGAAACATGTGAGGGCCCTTAAAGCCATAAGAAATTGCTGCACCATATCCTTCAAAAAGATGCCAAAAATATCCTCTTTTCTTATCATATACATAATAAAAAATTAATTTACATTTATTTTTCCAACACAATTTTATTTGCCAAACAAAAATTAATAAAATTATGATGATTAATGATTCATACTATCAAGAACTGAACTGTCTCACAAATATGAAATTATTGCTGCAAATAAATACAGTGGGGAAGAAAATTCTGGTTACAAAATGTCTTGAACACATAAATTTTCAATATTTTTTTGTTTACATACAGAAATCTTCAGGTTACAACAGCAAGACTAATGCAATATTTGATGTTCAAATGATAACAAAACAAAGATTGTATTAACAAGTACTGATTGATCTTTTGCAGTATAAAATTGCTTCATTGATTGAGCTCTCAATGTCAGCGCAATCATTACAAGAATATGAAGAACTTATTCGTGGCGATTCTCGTGGAGAACTTTTTCGACTCTTATTCTTCTTCAGTCCATAATAAACATCGTTTTTATCAGCCCAATCAACCGCGGAATAAGCTGTACTCGGACGAGGAGATGCCTGGAGGGAATTGTTCCAACTCTGAACTTCACAAACTTTTCTCTCAAGATCATCCACTCTAATGTTTTTTCTAGAACAAGCTAAAGTTTTATAGAATGGCCAAACAAATCCAAAACACTTCTGCAACACTCCTTTCGATGATTTCCTCCATTTTCCAAGGAAAAAATACCTAATACTCCTAGGTTGTCCTGGAAATTTCTTTTCTAGTGACCCTTCTGGAAGCTGTTCACATCTACTCCTCATAGAATAAGAAGAAATAGGCATGCCAGGAGCCGAGGTCGAGGTACTAAACGCCTCGGGTTTGGATCTTTCAAAATATATAGGCATAATACGGCCATCAGAGAAAATTTCATCAGCATGAGCTAGGGAAAACGGGGATGCTGATACAGGAAAATCAAATTTGAAATTCTGTTCTTTTGATCCAACTTCAATCGAATTCCCCGAAGATGTTTTGAGGGAATTGAGAAAGAAATCAGTAGAGGGATTTTTGTGTGCTAACCAACTGTATGAAAAACTTTCAGTGGCTAGTGGATTAGAATTTTCCATGTTTATACAAAAAACTAGTTTTGATATGAAAATACAGAAGAATGCTTATATATATACTAAATGGGGATGGAAGTCACGGGAGAATTTTTCACATTGACCACAATATATAGTAAGGTTCATGGTACCCACAACTGCATGGATCACACTCACAAAATTGTGTATGTGTGTGTGAAAAAAATTTCAGCATCAACACATGGCATGTTACATGTTTATCTGACACCAATTTGGTCGACTATATTTTAAATTAGCTACATCTTTATAATTATTGTTATTGCCATTTCTTGTGAAGTATGAGACATGAACATTATTTCTCTTCAGACGCTTTTATTTGAGAAATGAATTAATCCTTTCTGCTCGAGCTTTTATTGTGGACTATTTATGAATCAGCAGAAAATAGAGTGGAATTGGCAAAAAGTGTGACTTGGTACTCATTAAATTCAACCAATAGGCCTAAATTTTATTTTTAGTTCATTATGCATTATATAATGTGTTTTTGTTGGTTGCTTCATGTAGAAGAAATTCTATTGATGATAGAAATGAGAGTTGTGATTTTATTCATTGAGAAAACATCAATATATAATACAACTCAATAAACTAAATATGTAAAGATAAATAACAATTTCTAAAACTAAGCACATCATTATAATTATCAATTATCTTGATCAATTTGTCTTCAATGATTCCTCACTTTCCTCCATCATATATTTTTGTCAAGATTTGTTGCTGCTAACACCCTCTCTCAAACTTTGCCGGGGTTGGAGGCAAAGTTTGTTGCAAAAATGAACGAAAGCTGTTTTGGATGCTAATGTTGTGAAAAAAAAAATCACCATTTTTTAAAATCTTCATCCTTGTGAAGATATGTCACATGTTGTGGTGGTGTGAANTATATAGTACAACTCAATAAACTAAATATGTAAAAATAAATAACAATTTCTAAAATTAAGCACATCATCATAATCATCAATCATCTCGATCAATTTGTCTTCAATGATTCCTTGCTTTCCTCCATCATATATTTTTGTCAAGATTTGTTGCTGCTAATACATGTCATATCCATCTCCTACACGGTAGGCACGTCGAATAACGAACGCGCAGATGAACGGCCTAGGCCACCTATCTAAACCAATAATGCCAACCACTTCATCACTACTGAGCATGGATATAGAACCAGTAACTCTTCTTGCCAAGGAGAATGGAAGCTATTCCTCTGCCTTTGTACGACCTCAGCTTTGATCAGCTTGATGACAGATAACTGTTGGTCGAATATTCATATGTTCTAACCTACTGCAACATGGGCCTAACCACTCTTGTGCAACGGTAACAACTAACAAGACATAGCTTGATAGCGAATGCATAGGTATGGCTCATATGACCGTGGCACATAAATGGTTGTAAGCCTTAGCGTCGCTATCTACATTCCTATAAATATAAGACCGTCATTTTATGCTGATGTATAAAAATTTTGATAAGTTAGTACAACTATCGATTGACTTAAGTATCAGAGTGCTCCCAGCCATCACTACCGCCACTAACATTTGCTCATGTGTACGACACTTCAGAGTTTTTAGCTCTTGGTATCGGTGAAAGCTACAACCGTCCAAATAGATTTTGACTTCTATGCACATCGTGGTTTCTTTGTAAAATAGTGGCAATATTGATTGATTCAAATGGAGAAAAAAATGCGGGCTTTTCAAAAAAGTGATAAATATTCAAGAAGTCCCTATCAGAAGGTAAAAAAATAGAACAAAAACTGTTAATATACTTGGCATGGTGCAGAATGTTGGACTCTACCCGAGAAGCAAGATTAAAATAAAAAATCTGTGTTGTAAAGAACTAAATAATGAACAACCATGGGTCCTAAAGGAGGTACTTTAAAATGCACAGTTCTTGTTTCTTTATATAATTCAAAAGTTCTTGTCGAAATTATTATGGGAAAATGCTAAAGAATAAGCAATGGACCATGCATTCAGACAATGATATTCATTGCATCATACAATTAATTAGTATAAATAAAAGGTTGTCTATCTCATGCTTTCTAGAACATCAAAATTTACCTACTTAAATTTACACAACTAGCTGTGGCTAATCTGCTGGATTTATATATTTCAATATCATAATCATAAACATGAACAAGAAATTTTTTTATGTATATTAACTAGAAAAATCAAGATACAAAAAGATAAAAAAAACTGAAAGCCTCTAAAATAATGCTAAAATATGCGCCATTTTCATGTGATATTTTTTTAAATAAAATGTAAACTGATCCGAATAACTTTTTATTTTTAAACATGTTTTGATATATGACTTTTTCTTACTTTGAAATAAAAAAGTTACTTAGTGCTTGTTTAGGGTAATTTAAAAAATTGCTAAATAGCATAAGTGAAAGTCAAAAATTAATTTTAATTATACATTTAATGGTATCATAGCTTTTATCCTTTTCAACAACATAATTCATTAATTTTTATCAAAATCTGATAAAACTTTTATCAAAATCTTTGTCAATCAACCCCTTAATTTAAAAGTAATACACTATCTAACTGCAGAATAATAACTTACTATAAAAGATTATTTATTTTATTATGAATGTGCTTATAAGGGAACTCATGAGTAAACTTTTTAAGCATTGCCAAACATAGTGAAAATAAATTGATGACGAAAATTCTGTGAATCTCAAGAATATAGAAGGAATAGTAAGAACCAATGCAATAACTCTGACTATAAATTAGAAATATAAAAAGTCTTGGTTATAAGGTTAGATAAACGTTTTATATTAATTAAATGAGTACAGAATTATAGAATCATAAAAGAGAATTGAAAAAAACTTCATGGAGCAGCTATTTACATTCACCATTATTATATGAGTCTTGTTAAATGTACGTCAAGTTTGACATTAACAATCTTTCCAATCAATGACGAGATTTCCCACACATAGGGGGGATGTCATCCAAAATGCCAAGGTTGAATGTACAAATAGATTAATCTTTATTATATGTTCATCCCACTCTATACCTGTCCTATTAAAATTTTAAAAATTACTATTTTAATCCTCGTCACATTCCAATATTGTCATTGTTAAATTCATTCATTTTAACCCTATATATCCATACCATTTTTATATATCTATCTCATTATAATTATTTCAATCATTTCATATGTCTATCCATACCATTTTATATATCTATACATCCACGTCATTTCTATATATTTATCTCACAATTTTATATATCTATGTTATCATAATGCTTTTATATTTTCAATCATATCCTTCAATATGAACTGTCAAATTTCTTTACTTGTTTTGATAATAGCAACCATTGTTTGAATTTAAGACAATAAATGAAAAAAAGAAACTTAAATTCTATTTTTGGTAACCATAACAGAAAAGATAATCCCAACAAAAAACTTAAATAATTCGAAATGAAATTTTTTACTGATACTACTTGAATTCAAAAGGCACATTATCAAATAATCCAAACACAAATTAAGAATCTTTCACGTGCTAGATTCGTTAACACGATAAAAGGTAATCCTTACTTTTTAAAACTCTTCTTCATATATTTCTATGCATGTATGCATTTACTTTAATGGTGTCTCTTCTATTGTTGTTTTGACTTTATTTGAAGAGGTATATATTTTATAAATATTAGGGTTTTATAAAAAAGGTCAAAAAGAGTTTAATGAAAATAAGTAGTAGTGAAAGAATTTAAAATGATATATATTTATTTCATTATATATATATATATATATATATATGACAATGGTGGATGTAAATAGAGGCCCCCAAACTTCACGGCATCGACCCCATTCCTTGAGCAAGAAAGGTCCCGTTCTTTTCAAGCTTAAGAAATTGTAATATATATGGAAATAAAAGAGCAAAAGTAGCAGACAGGGGTCCTATTCCTTGGGGAAATTAACAGAAATGAAAGGTACAAAGGTTGAAGGACCAAAAAACAAGAGTTGAAACAAGACACAATCTGTCAATATAGTTGTCTGTTCAATGCATTACTAATCGTGACATATGAAGCCAAACTTTCAAAGATTTCAAATTTGTGTACATTCATCCTGATTCCTTTTCATATTGAGTAAACATATATTTTTGGGTGCTGAAAAAATTGTCAAATGGTGAATATTAGGAGTCAATTATTTGAATAGTCACTCAACTATATTCAGTGTTACTACCTTATAATTGAACTTAAAAATATATTTTAATGGTTACTGAACTATGCACCATATTACCCATTCATCACTAAAATGAAAAAATTCATTAGGTTCAACAAACGGCATCACCTTGAGCGATGAATGGATAACACGGCGTATAGTTTAGTGACCACTAACATACAATCAAATAATTAGAAGTGACCTAATGTTTACTGAACTATATCAAGTGTTACTACATAATAACTGAACTTAAAAATGTATCTCAGTGATTATTGAACTCTGTACTATGTTACCTATCCATTACTCATGTAGAAAGATTTGATATGTTCAACAAACGGTGTAAACTTGAGCAATGGATGGGTAATTAGTTCAGTAATCATTGAGATACAATTGTAAATTTAATTATTAAGTAGTAATGACTAGCATAGTTCAATCACCATTTAAATAATTAGAAGCATATGATTCTTAGCACGGCTCATATAGACAAAGAAGGCATCCCCAATTGAAGCCAAAAATCAAATTCAAATGCAAGATGATCTTAAACACATAAACTAGAAAAGTGCCCCCAATCACCGCCTCCTTTCATCAAAATCTAACCTTGCATTCATAATACTATCAAACCTCCATTGACAGTTCTCTCACAACCACAAAATAGACGTAAACTTACGCCGCACACTAATATAAAGCTATGTATAAAATAAACTAAAAGATCCGACTAACTAAAAATACATAGAGATTAGAGAGGCAGAGAAGGGGAGAGACAGAGAGAGAGAGAGAGAGAGAGAGACGCAGGAGGGAGAACAGACCTGATGGATTGGTGGGTACATAGAATTGGTGCGAATAGGGCTTTCAAGCAATTCGGTGATGCTTGTGGGGACAATTCCTCCGTTTCTCCCCTTCTTTGAACTATACACCGTGTTACCTATCTATCGCTCAAGTCGACACCGTTTGTTGAACCTAACTCCGACTTGAGTGATGAAAGGGTAACACAATCTACTGTTCAGTAACAATTGAGATACATTTTTAAGTTTAGTTATTAAGTACTAACACTTCGTATAGTTTAGTGTCTATTATGTTAATTCTAATTATTTGAATAGTAACTGAACTATTCTAATTGTTACTACTTAATAATTGAACTTAAAAATATTTTCTCAACGATCACTTGAACTATTCACCATAGTAATCATCCATCACTCAAAGTTGATACCGTTCCGACAAACGGAGTATGAACCTCATGTAGCGTACTTCTCTCTCAACTTCCTTAGGAGTTAGGTTTCGGATGATCAAAATATCATGGCCTACCAAACCTGCCTGTGTTTAGTGTGTAATGAACACAATTTGTACCATTATCAATTCTTATAAAACCCAACTTCAGAAGAAGACATCAAATCCATTCTTAGCATAAACCAAAATGAAAGGATATAGAGAGTTAGACATCAAGAAAATCGACGGTTTCTTTATTTAAACTAGCCGTCCCTTTAAATATTTGATAATAGTTAAAGGGTTGGTTTTTAGGGGTGAATATATTTGATTAATTCTTTTGTTTCTTGTTCTTGTTATCATAAAAAAATGGGTGATAACCAAAAGAAATTCATTACATATGATGAACTAAAGAATCATAACAAGGCTAATGGATTCTCATAATGCCCATCACGTCTCGTGTAATAGCCTTGATTATGATCTTGATCTTCAGCATCTGCCACTTCTTGTGGTTTCTTCAAGAATGTTTCAGTCGTTTTTATGAAAGAAAACTTACATTTGATTACATGGCAAGGTTTTTTGTGAGTTATCAGAACCTGACATTCTATCCAGTAATGTGCATCGCAAGAGTCAATCTTTATCTTCAGACGTTCTTGCTCTTGTTTTTGAATAGAAAAGAGCATGATCGAGCCTTGAACATATTGAGAATTCTTGTTTTTTGGACTTGGTTCCCTTTGCTTGTTTCTTACCTCATCAATAGGAATGAAAGGGTGTTGTTTGTCCTAGCAAGCATTTGTGTCACTTCTATTCAGCGCGTACAACTCTGTTTGAACCATTTCGCTGCGAACGTTTACACGGGATCACCCAAGGGGAACGACTGATTTGAGAAACAGACAAGTGGGACAATTGACATTGCGTGCTCATCTTGGATGGATCGGTTCTTTGGTAGATTACAATTCCTGCTTGAACATCATTTGAGGAAATTTTCCTAGGTCACCAAAATGTCATTTGAGGAAATTTTCTTCGATTGTCCAGAAATTATGCAAGAAACACAGCTTGCCTTATAGGAGCTCGTTTGGATACTAAAGACACTCAGAACTGCAGCCTTGCAGGCTTGAGATATAACTGGCCCTGCCCTAAAGAATTTGCTATGGGAAGCTGTTAATACTCATGGATGATGATTCAGGGAAGCTTGTGGATCTTGTAAAATTTTCTTGGTTAAGGTTCTAGTGCTTCTTCGAATGTAAGGTGATTAGGAATCTTTTTATAATGCGTTTCAATTTGTAGTCAAATGAGAAGATTGTTAGGAATATAGCCCTTCAGGCTAAATTTTGTTTCTTCGCATTGAGACTTTTCTTAATTCAATAAAAAACATGATTTTACCATGCAATTTTTTGAACATTAAAGGACCTAATTATTGCCAATTCGTGGAGCTGATTGTGAATCAACCTCCTCGGTGAGGTCGCCAAGGGGTTGGAAGGGGGACAGGTGCCGGATGAAAATTTTAGTTAAAGACTATATAGGAATTTGTATTCTTGTAAAATCCTATGAAGGAATACGAGTCCTTGTAAAATTCGATGTTGCCCTATTTTATCTTATAAATAGGGAGCAATTGTTAGACTTTATATATTATCATCAAATAGAGAGAAAGAGAGGTTAAAGGAGATAAAATTGATATTTTCTCTTATAAATTTTTTTTATCATAGTGAATTACTGCAATGACAGGAGATGACATAGTCTGATACTGAGGTGAACCTCTATAAATCTTGCGTGTTCTTGATTGTTTATTTTCTTTCTTTAAATTGATTGCTCTCGACGGGATAAAATTAGGGTCTATAATTCTCAACTCTATAGTTATATGGGAAATTATAATCTCACGAATGATTTATGTCTAGAAGATATAATTCATATCTCAAGAAAGGAGTAGTCATGACCATTACAGGCGCATACTTTGTCTAGATAAGGGCTGGCTGCACTCGTGTAGCTACCATTGGAGGATATCTAGGAAAATTGAGTTTTTGGAGGCTGCAGGTGATTGATTTAAACAAAGAGAAGATAAGATCTACGCAATTTAGGCAATCCTAAATTTATACGGCCATGGTATGTGGTTTGTCATGATTATAACGTTCTAATTGTGGTCCATTTTCGAAAAAATTTTAAACACTCCACGCTTCTCTGTCTCTCTTGGTGTTCGACTTTCCAATAGACATGCCAATAAATTTGTTCATAGCATCCCATATATTCTTTTACATACTGATATTCAATTCATAAACATACAGAATCCAGTGAATAGTAGTACAGATTTTAGACATAGCTTTTAATGCCAGAGCTATATCCAGTTTGATCATCGATTCATCATAGTACTTGGACCACAGCATAACACCTCCATATTTAGTAGAACCCTTAATAGCTGGAAGAACAGTCGAAGTAAGATCAGCCACCGGGATGAAGCCACTTCCAGCGGCGTCTGGAGCTGCTGGTAGTCCTAGGAAAATCTTAGTTGCAGGAATAGACGAAATCCATTCTTTCCATGCATTCTTCAGATTTGAAATATCTCCAGAAGTGTATTGGCAAGGATGGTTATTGTAAAACTGAAACCAAACATAGTCGAAAAGACCAGTTTTCAAGGCACCCCTGACCCAAGCATCAGAACAGGCATTGAGGAGCAGCGGTTAAGTACACCTTCTTACCTCGTGTGCTATATTTAGAAAGATACCGAGCAGTTCATTCCAGTGTTGAGACGTTCCACCTTCAATATCGAAGTCAATCCCATCCAAAACAGCGTTCCCAAGAGGGCGAGACGAGGATTTCCCTCCCAAGAAGTTGTTCCAAAAGTAAGTTGCCAAATCCCTTGCATCCTGAGTCGAGGTGAGGGTATACCCTCCGGCCTCTCCTTTGATCGAAAGTAGGGATGGCAACGGTTCGGCCAAAACCATAACCGCACCATCAAATTTTTGGTTATACCATAACCGCACCATAACTATGTAAGTCGGTTCGGTTCTGTTAATAACCACGAAAATAAATTATTTTTTATAAGTCCAAACTCCAAATGTCAAAATGAAAAAAAAAATTATGAAGAAAAGTCAAAAAAAACAAAAAACAATACTAAACCAATTTAGCAAACAATATCCCAATTTCCAAATGCAAAATTCGAATTTAACAAACAATATTATTAACATAGGTCAAGACTCTTATTAACATAGGTCAATATTCATTCTTCCCCACAACTCTTACTAGCATGGTCAAGAGTTAAGGCTCAAAGTTGATTTCTACACACAATAGAGAAAAAATTAGCAATAAAAGAAAGTACATGAATAACAAATATAAAACAATAAATCATACCATGAATATCAGTCCAAAGCTAATCCCGAGCACACGTTAAAGCTTCTAAAGTCTTCGGGTGAAGCCTATTTCTATGTGGACTCACAAATCTACCACTTGTACTAAACGCCGACTCAGATGCCACAGTAGATACTGGAATGGCTAATAAATCTCTAGCAACCTTCTGTAAAGTTGGATATTTTATTGAACTTGCTTTCCACAATGTCAATAAATCAAAACCATCTACCCTTAGCAATACTGACTCGTCTAAAAAAATAGCAAACTCTATTTTTACATGATCATTGGTAACAGAATGACTAACAAATTTATCAAAACCACCCATGCGAGAATGCTTTCCAACAGTAGTAGACGACTCTGATTGCGAAGATAATGAAGAGTGAGATGTATTTTCTGTCGAATGACTTGGTCTCTTGTACTCTTTGAGCAATTTATGACAAAATGCTTTAACCTTGCCAACATCTACCTAAGCTTCATCTCCAAAGATTAGAGGGAAATAGTATTCAACTAGTTTCATCTTGTATTTCGTTTTTACAATGGTCTGTTTTTCGCGAGCAGGGACAATTGCACTACGTTCTTGAAATAAGAATTCGATATACAAAATTATTTACCAAACTTACACTCAAGAAACATGAAACTATACCATACCTCGAATTGGCGAGGGTGGCGGCGGCGATGGATTTGAGTAGAGAAGAAGTGTAGTCTGGAGACTGTAAACCTGGGTTTTAATTTAACGTGTAGGGTATATTGAAATTGGGCTATGTTATTAGGTTAAGGTTTACTTAATTTTAATTGGGCCAGAATCCTGGGAAGCTCAATTGTCAAAATTGCCCAATTAGTTTTGAGAAAGAATAATGAAAAGCCCAATTGTTCAATTAATTTTTTTTAACAGGTAATCGGTTCGAGGCGGGGCACCATCGCTAAATACCATACCCGCACCTAAATGAAGAGGTTCATTAAAATCAAAACCATAACCGCCCCATTGCACCAACGGTTCGGTTTTTTTCGCCCCATTCGATTCGGTTAACTGCGATTTTCGGTTTTAACAGTTCGAATTGTCATCCTTAATCGAAAGTATCACTTTGATTCCTTTGGTTGACATGATTTTATATCGGAACTCAATCCAACACAAGCGTTGCTATATGGATCGTAGTGTCCAGCTAGATTGATCATCAGTTTCTGGCCATTGCCAAATGTTGCAAGAAATGCGAGAATCACGAATTTGTAGTTTCCTGTGGCACAGGTTTCAGCCTGTCCCCAATATATAGCAATTCCTCTAGCTTCTGAAACCACCACAGTCCACAAGTATAAGCATTAGCAATGAAAGGAATGCTACAGACATTGATTTTCTAAGAGCCATTTTATTCCTCTGCTATGATGTTTTAGCAGAACCCTATGTTTCTTCTTCTATGCTGAACCACTGCAAAGGCGCTACTTCTATTTTATGTTCATGTTATTGATGAATTATATTACTTATGATTATTTTTTATATTTGTTATGTTAATTTATAATTTATCTACACACAAATCACCCATTTTTTCAAACAAATAGGACTCTCCTTAATGTAATGAAATACACAAGAAGTTTTACAGTTTTATTTCTTTCTATGTTAATTCTAACATCGTATCAGAGACAGGTATTGCACTAAAAAATTTCGTGATTAAATTTGGCGCCTTGTTACTTTGTCCCTACGCCAATTCTTGTCCGAACCACAAATCACATAGAAGTTCACTATAATATTGTCGTCCTATTATCTTTGGGGTGCCAAAATTCGATATTAATATTCAGAGTTTTCATTATGCTAAAGAATCACCAATCCTTTAATATTCTCATAAAGGTAGTTTAAATAAAACTATGCTATGTAAGCCTCCACCGCCTCCCCTTTCACCCTTGCTCTCTGGTTTCCTAAAAGGTGCAGTGCTCCCCTCATTTTGTTTAAGGCTGTATACTTTTCTCGAAATTAATCCCAGACAATAGGTGAGTAGTATGTCAATTTGAATCACATTCATGAGAGTCCACAATGGCTCTGATCAACATTATAACAAAATGGATTTAAGGTTTATTTGAAATTGCATATCTTGTACTGATATATGATTGGCATTGATCATTCAATTGATTATGAAGTCTAGGGGAGAGGTGTAAAGTGGACCGACCTTGTTGGCCCCGCACACTTTGGGGGTCCAACCATCACGGTTTCATGAGTTGGTCAGTCCTCTCTAGTGTTTGCTTCTATCAATTCATGCCAATTTCACCAGAAACAACATTTGTCAAATGTATGTTGGTTTATGAGAAACATGATGATGAAGACAAAATAATAATTCCATTTAATTTTGGGTTTGTCCGTTTTTGGTGAATTTCTAGTCTAATTAGATTGAAAACAAGCCAATGATCACAACTCAGGGCCTATGCCCCTGAAGCACGTCGGATTTTGGGCAGAAGGCCTTCAATTAAGCGTTTTTGCTATTTATGGTAATTTTGTTTTGGCAATATCTTAATCAAATAAAGTTCGATTTGATTTTCGTTTGTTCGGGAATGATCCTGGTGATTAGGAGAATCAAGATCCGCCATTATCTCAATTTTTTCCATTTTTGGAAAAAATAATATTTTCTCATTATTAGATAATTTTTCCGAATTTTCTTCAGTTTTTCGCTATTTAAACGTTGTGAGCCCTTTGAGGCAACCCAATTTTGAATGAAATAAAGTTTTTTTTGAATTTCTCTTCGTTGAAATTCTTTTTGTGTGGATTTTTGACTTTCCTATAATCTTCCCCTGCATCAGCTTACAAAATTTAATCATTTGTCCACTACTATTGTGTGGATTTTTGTCTTTCCTATTATCTCCCCTTGCATTACATGACGACCCCAAGCAACTCAAGAGGCATGTAGTAGAGGTGAAGGGCTAATAGTCTAGCACATAAGTTACTAACGTTTCTTGTGTGACCGAGGCTCGACTCTATGCAAATGGAAATGAAAGCTTCCACCATTAGAACCAACTATTTACTTGAGCAGGAATTGTACATTAAAGACAAATACATAGTAGGCCTCATCAAGCCCGGAAAAAGAACCTTGAGATTGCTTTCGTCTTCAATAGAAGATTTGAATGTCTAACTGAAGATAATGTTCTAAGATGCATAATGTTTGATGCTCGGATTGGATATTTTGACTTTCTACAATGTTACACACTAAGGGGTTGTTTGGTCAATTTTCAGGTATGATTCTGGTGAAGCAGCTTTGGAAAAGTAAAAATGCAATTTAAGAAACTTAATGAGAATTTCATTCCAAACAATCTTTTCAAAACAATACCCTAATGACACGTTTAATAAGGCATATTAGACAATATTGAACAGTATTAAATAATAAGAAGAAGTTAAATTATTGTGCATTATAATTTCAAGTACGAAGTAATAGTGCATACTGAACATGAACATGCACTTAATTCACCTCACATGTATTTGTCTAGAGCCGTAACAACCAGTGAAAACCTTTGTAAATTCATATTTCATCATCGCTTGACCGAGAGATTTTGTGTTGAAATCGTAAACACCACTCGACATTTATGGTACCACATCTCGGCTATTCAGCAACTGAATTGTAGATATACATAACTGAAATTGCACGATTATATAATGAGAACACTAAATTCAAGAATAGCCGAGTTCAGCCTTAAGTCAGTTGAAATGGCGAAACACCAAATTCACTTCAAATAGAACAGGAAAGGGGAACAATCGTTACGCACAATAGAATACACGAGTTTTAGAACCAGTAAACGGTAGTAAATATTTTAGACATGGCTTTTAATGGAAGAGCTATATCCAGTTTGATCATCATAATACTTGGACCACAGCATAACACCTCCATATTTTGTAGAACCCTTAATAGCTGGAAGAACTGTCGAAGTAAGATCAGCCACAGGGATGAAGCCACTTCCAGCGGCGTCCGGGGCTGCAGGTAGTCCTAGGAAAATCTTAGTTGCAGGAATTGAAGAAATCCATTGTTTCCATGCATTTTTCAGATTGGAAATATCTCCAGCAGCATACTGGCAAGGAGGGTTATTGTAAAACTGAACCCAGACGTAGTCGAAAAGACCTGTTTTCAATGCACCTCCAACCCAAGCATCAGGGAACGGGCATTGAGGAGCAGCGGTTAAGTACACCTTGTTACCTCGGGTGCTGTACTTAGAAAGATACCTAGCAAGTTCGTCCCAGTGTTGTGACGTTCCACCTTCAATATCAAAGTCAATCCCATCCAAAACAGCATTTCCAAGTGGACGAGACGGGGATTTCCCTCCTAAGAAGTTGTTCCACAGATAAGTTGCTAAATCCCTGGCATCCTGAGACGAGGCGAGGGTATACCCTCCAGCCCCCCCTCCAATCGAAAGTATCACTTTGATTCCTTTGGCTTGACAGGATTTTATATCGGAACTCAATCCAACACATGCGTTACTGGATGGATCACAGTGTCCGGCTAGATTGATCATAGGTTTCTGGCCATTGCCAAACGACGCAAGAAATGCGAGGATCACAAAATTGTAGTTGCCTGTGGCACAGGTATCAGACAGTGTACCTTCATTTCCATTCTGTCCCCAGTATATGGCAATTCCACCAGCTTCAGATCCCACCACTAGTATTAGCATCACCAGTGGAACAATTGCTAGAGCAATCGATTTCCGATGAGCCATTTAAGACTTGACTACTATGGATTGCAATAGTCAGTAATTGTATTTGTTTTGTGCTGAACCATTGCACAGGTGAGTGCCTTTTATAGGGCAAAGAGGATTATGCTAAAACTATGATAATACACAGTCTTGCACTCTTGCTGATGCATGATAGTGATGCTGAAAAAAGCAACAAAAACACAAGACAGATTAAAAAACTTGTTGATTCTGCAGATACTAGTCAAAAATAAAAGTTCTATTAAACAAAATTGTGACATCCGTGACCATCTTCATTAGATAGCTACTATTTTGGTTTATGCTAGGTATGCGTGGATGAAAAGTCACTCAGTTTTTGCATAGCTAATACTATACTGAAGGAAATTTGTTGAGGTCGAAGTAGTTTTAAAAAGTAAAATATTTTTCAGCTAAAATTGCTTGCTTTTAGAAGATAATACTGTCCTTTAGCTGTTGTCTTTGTGATTTAGTTTGAAGTTTAGCTATTGAACCTGTTCCCATGGTAGCAATCAAATGTGTCTTTGAATATAACACAGGCAAGATTATGTGGACAAACCTTGATTTTGTATGTAGTGAACAAATGTAGAAGTAGTCGTCAAACATTATTGAAATATTTTATGCAGAAAACAAATGAAATTAGTTGGAAAGACCAAACGATTTAACTTAAGAGGTGTCAAAATGTGATGATCAGCCTAGACCTATCCCCCAAGCACATGGGCAGCGCGGTCAGGGCTTACAGCTAGAAAGTGTTCAGCCAGGCACAGGCTATACGGGCTTGTGGCCAACCTGGGGCCATGGATCTCGCAGGCGGCATCGTTTTTATTTTTATTTTTTAACACTAGTCCAATATTTTCACAGAGAATCCATAAAGTCCTGGTGGCATTTTTTAAGAGATAATTTTGGTAAAACAAATTGAAAGAGGAAGGGGTTGATCATAATAAACACGGTCCGTTTTAGTTATTAAAGATCTTATTCTTTATGATTTTAAGTAAATCTAGCAATGGACTGAACAATAGTCCCTGCGCCCGACCCCAAATTAATAAGAACAAAATATAGTGATTGAACTGTTTTGCAAATTTTATCTTTTGCCTCTTGGCATTCTAGAGGAAGCATAAAGCCCTGCTCCAGTGGAAAGCATCAGCTTGATTCCTTTACATGATTGATGCCAAAGCTTAAACCAGTGTGAGCACAAAAACCATGTTCACAAACATATAGTCCCCCCTGTGGCACAATGCTCAGATCCTATATACTAATTTTACTACAACAGTAGGAAGTTGATGTAATCAGCTAATTTACTGTACAGAAAATTTACCTTATACATACAGTAAATGGCCAAGTTCTTGAGCCAAATTCAGTATCAACACCATACAGATTCGATACAATTCAAAATTCCCAGTGCTTTCAACTTCGAACTAAGCAATTCAAAGATTACCCAGGGCATATGCCCTTACATTACCAAGCAATATCGACTTCAGAAGTTTGTGAAGACCAGGTTCCAGTGTTCCAATCAGGATATGCGGTGTGAATGTGATGTTATATATAGCTATACTGACCAAAACTTCATAATTACAAACGAACTGTGTTCTCCATCATCATTCAGCCTCAGGTCTTAGAGAATTGATTAGAAGAGAACTCAAGTAATGCGTAATCCCTGAAAGGTACTGTTACGGAACAAAGCTCCTCGGAGAAGAGGACGAGAACTCAAAGTAAGTTGGTTTTGGAGTTGAAGGGCAGCCTATAGATTGAATCAACTGCTCCACAGATAATCCTTGAAACTTTTGGGGTCCATTTCGGGCAATGTTGTGAACCCGGTGTTCATAAATTTTCCCATTCTTATCAAGCTTGTATTCTGAGGTGCCATCAAATCGGCCTCGGCTCTCCCATGGAACTCTCAGGATGCCATGAACACTCCAACGAACCATTATCATGTTCTCCACAGGCTGCCACACACTTATGATGTCAACGGACACAGCCCTAAAAAATATCCTTCCATGAAATCTTAATGCCCAAAAGATTGACTTGTAACTCTCAATACCAACAAAACTGTTGAGTGGATCTTTGAAGACAATATCATCCCTAAGGCAAAGCAGAGTGAACAAGGAGTAGTACAAAAAATCCAATTTCGGAATAAAATATTGATAATAAGAGATGAATCCTAAAGTTGGCGTTGTCTCAAACAATTTATGCAATTGGGCTTACTATTTTTAACTTGACTTTAAGTGTCTTTGGTTAAGCCTAAAAGAAGTAAAAGTACTTTGTTGGAGTAAGTTTATGAACTAAAATCTAAAGTTATGCAATTGGATTTACTTTTATACTGAATTTGAGTGTCTTTTGCTAAGCCTAAAAAGAGTCAAAAGCACTTTTTTGGAAAGTAAAAACGTACTTTTACAAATGAAGCTTATGAAATAAATCTCCAAAAATTAAGCCTCTCTTTAGCCCCAATTTTTTAAATTCCATTTTTCCAAACTCATTTCAAGTTTCAGCCGCACATTTTATAACACTCACAACTTTGATAAACTTTTCAACCACACAATCAATCTTTAACAAAATCTACTAAAAATCTGATTTTTAGCCAATCCAGACAGGGGCTAAGTACTTCTCATAAAGCTCAAACACTTGAATAGCCAAAAAAAAAAAAGTTAATTAAAAGTAACTTAAGCTTAGACACATGTTTGGTTACGCTCAGAAGTTACTCTTTTTGTAAGGCTTAGCCAAACTTGCTCTTTATAGCATATAATCTTAGATCAACCATACAAGCTATATTCGTAGCTAGAAATTTTAAAATTGGAAGTTAAGGATACTTTACACCACTATAAGCAAGTGACATTCAAATACGCATTCATGCATTTGCATGTTCAATTCAAAAGATAGAATAGTTCTTACAAATGGTGGATTTTTTTTCCAATTCTCTATTGCTACAAAGTACAATGTCAGTGGTGAGTACAGTTCATAAATAGATTGAAATTGTAGTTCTTAACCATTTAGTCACTGTCCTAACCAACAGACAACTTTATGTCCTATTTTTCACCGACCCATAAGCGTTTCTCACTTCACTTCAAAGATTCAAGTCAACACTGCAGACCACTCTATCAACTACCTCCAACTATTGTATCAAAATAAGACTGATCTCCACCCTATCAGGATATATATCCTCATTCATATCAAAATTGAGTTCACGTATATAATAAATTGCATTAGCTGACCGTGATAAGTATGGGATAAGGTTTTGTTGAGATCAGTGGTATATAGATGATCATGCCCCATGTTAACTTAATTATTTCCTTCCCTCAATATAAGATTTCATGACAACCAAATTTTCCACCTCGTCATCATGACACCTCGTCATCAGTTTACTTTAAGTCAACAGCACACTACTTGAATAACTACTGGTTTCTCCCTTTTAGATTTCTTCTTTTTCATTTCGATCCTATATAGGTTAGAATTAGTTTATGTGAACTAGTATACGCACTAAATAATGTCAAACAGTTTACCCTTATCGTGTTTCCACAAACCTCTTAGGTTGAGTAACTCTCATATAAAAAAGGGAATTAGATTTTTATAATTCCTAAACCTATAAGAAAAATGAAGCAACAAAGGGACAGAAGAATCCATTGGCCCTCTTGTTATTATATTACTTCTAACAAATGTTCATAAATCAATATACATGGATTCATCATATCAATCTAGACATAACCTAGAATTTAAGTATGTTACAGAATAGAAAATAACATCCTTGTCTCTTAGATTCGTTAACACTTTGTCCGGTCGGATTAATGACAGATAGAATCACTCTATATTGCATTTAACAATGCATTGATCAATAATTCATCAAAATGGAGACAGGAACACAGATTGAGTACAGTTAACACTCAAAAATCCCATATAAACATCCTTAATTAATTTGAACAATTTATAATATCTACAGAAAATTAATTAAAATCAAAATAAGAATGAAAAGGCTTGAATTTCAAAACCTGTAGATATCAAAACTGAGCTCTCTATGGAAAAGCTCCGGGAACTCTTCACGGAGGGTCCTAATAGCATAGCCCGTATTCACATAGTAATTCTGCTTCCTTTCTTCCTCATCCATAACCTTTTTAGCACTAAATAACGCCGTACCAGTAGGCTTCACCGGAGCAGAGAATTTTCCGTACAACCATCCCAAATCATCATAGCAATTACTCCTCAATTTCACAACGTCAGTTGCACCCTCTTCCAAATCCCTAACACTCGAACAAACCCAAACCCTAAAATTTCGGTTTCTTGGAGAGATTTCAGCAGGAATTTCACGCATGCGGCAGGAAAATGATGAAATTCCCGAGGAGGGCATTAAGAGGGCCATTTGCTGCTGATCAAACGGGATTAAAATTGAGTGATGATTCTTGAAATGGGCATTTTTCTTTGAGCTCAATTATGAATTTCCTGTGATGCGAATATTCGAAATATATAGGGGAAAATCACCGTCGGAAAAGATGATGGAAAATCTGTCCAATTGACGAAAAGGTTTTGGATAATTCTGAATTATCGGCAAAATAATTAATTTATTTGGTGAAAAACATTTGATTGGTGGAGGAAGGAAGCGAATAGGCCTTTTATTGAATTGGGCTGTTTATGTCAAATTACTCGGCCCAACTCTGAGGGAAAAGTTTCATGTGTAACCTTCAAAATACACTAGTAGAAATTGTGTCACATGCTCTTTTATATATGCTAGAACAATACCCCAAACGAAAAATGAACGGATTCAACCGCTTCTGCAGATAGAATCAAATGCACACCAAAAAATCCTCCTTCCCCTTCAAAAAAGCAATCATCGGGATCCCAGCATAAAAAGAAAATAGAACATTACTTAACGGAGATCTTCCTATTACGATTAAGGTGAATAAGTTTGGATCCCATTGAACAATTCCGTCAGTTGGTTGCAAATTATCGAAATAGAATTTTTTGTCTTTAGATTTAGATTAGATAGATAGAGAAGGTATAAGAAAATGTACAGAATGTATATAGAGGGAAGATATTTTATAATGAACGATGGGAAACTTGTTTGTGAACGGTACTCGAATCATTTTGGGATTTCAAGTGTAAAAGCTTCATGATATCTCTTCTCACATAAATCTCCTCAATTACTGATTTGGGGTAGATTTGGTGGTTTGTTGTGGTCTAGTAGTGGCTAAAAGTGGTGACAATAATGGTGAAGATGATGGTGATGGAAATAGTGGTGAAATGAGATGGTGATGCAGATTGATATTGATTGCAGCTATGGAAACATGTGAGGGTGGTTATGTTGGTGGTTGTTTCGACATCGATGGTGGAAACCAATGGTGGTGGTGTTAAAAGCGTGTTACACTTATCATGACATAAATGTTACACATGTTGTGCTTTCTGTAAACATGATTAAAAAATGCAACACGTGTAAAAAAGTTGGGACGTTATTTTGGAAAATATTTGTAAAACGTGTAAATAAAGATGGACACTACTTTGAAAAATAGTTTGTTCTTTCATGTTATTTGTGAAATTTCCTCAATACCAAACTGTTTTTCAAAATATAATCTATCTTCAATAAAAACACTATTCTTTTATTTTATTATTATTTTTTTTTAACACCACATCTTCTCAATTTTGGTAACAAAAGTACTACACATTGTGTAAAAACACTTGTTTAACTCTCATACCAAATGGTGTTACCCACCACCATTGACAAAAGTAACACTTGCAACAAATTGTATTACGTCGTCACCACTATTACTCTAGCATGGATAACGATAACAACATATTGTGTTGTGCTCGACGCTGCCACCTCCAACATCACCATCAACATCAACCTTATTATACAAAGTGTAATATTTGTGTATTTTTTGTTATATACTATGTTAAACCACCTATGTCACCACCATCGACACTGTAAACAACCTCCTAAAACCAAGAACACCTCCACCACAATCTACACCATCTATCACCATCATCATCATCATCATCACTATCACCACATCACAACTACCGACTTCTACTGCCTGCAAAAATCCTAGCTCGTCCCATTGACCACTATTATGGTCTGAGACGAGCCTTGTCATCTCCCTCGATCTCCACTATAAACCACCATCTCCAAAACCTAGCCCATCCATTGATCACCACCACCACAGTGATCAAATTTCGCGCAGCATCATCCTTGCTACAAAGAAACAAGTAAACTCACCAAACTTTAACCTTATTTATCACTGAACCACCATCTCCACCACCATCCTGCCATCCCCATCACCAAAACCATAGAAGAAATGAAAGCAATATATTTGGAATATAAAACATCAAAAAGTAAGCTGTAATCTCAATTTAAATTCTGGTATGTGGTGTAATTACCTTTTCTTTAAACCTATTGACTTTGTGACAAACTCATCCATGTTCTTCTCTTTTTTCCTACAAAAAAAAAACTGTAAAAACCATTCAAAAGTTTTCATAAATTGACGTTTGAGATATAGTTGACATATCTAAAATTTGATGACTAGGAAGAAGACATGGAAATTTGCATCGTTTGATGTTTCCCAAATCGAGTGTTTCCATTGTTATTAAATTAAAGTTAAGTGACTTAATTGTCAAAAATTGAAACACGAAAAATCAGTGGAGTTTGAACATTTCAGAAGCTACTCCGACGAACTTAATATATATCAGAATACAAACATCAAGCCTTTGACATAAAAGCGTTTCTTCAATGGGTAAAATCAAAAATTTCATATAGATAGATTGAAGTCTTTTTCCTCAAACCACACTCTTCCCCAAACCACCTTCCTCCACAATTCCAATCCGTAATTCACATTCAAAAAGTTCTATCTACATCCCCAACAATTGAATTTGTCAATACAATTAACCGAAAATCAAGAAACTTTGTTGTTGTATTGTCTGTGCATATACTTCTACAATCATTTTGAGTTTAATACACAGCTACTTTTCAACAAGTTCCTTTTGTAAAACAACTAGAAATATCATTTTCAATGTCGAGAAGTAAGCATCTACTCCATTATTTATTTATTTATTATTTTTTGTGGTAGAGACACCTCTGTCATTTAGTTCTTAGCTTTTCTCTTTAGAGGCATCTTTTTGTCATTTGATTCCAAGCTTTTCTCTCTCTCTTCATGAATTATCTTCCCTTCTTTAGTGTTCCCCCACATCAAGGAGTAAAAGCCGATTGAGACGACAATGAATCCCAACAAACTGCCAAAAAAAATAAAATTTGAAGAATTTGTTCTTCCTAGATTTAGGTTTTAATTGTGGATTTATGATTTGTCTTTCGCAATTGAATTGGAGGAGGTCTTTTGTTTTAAAAGGGAGAAACCAAAAAGCCTTCGTGTTAAATTGGCTAAATTTGTTGTCCATTTTAATATATTTTCATTTTCCGTGTCAATTGTGTATTGTCACGTCATTTTTTCATCCACCACGTAAAGATATTTGTGCAGATAAAATTGATTGTGGTGAGCATTAGATAAATTAATAAATAATTCAATAATCATTAGGTAATTATTTAATTTTCAATGAGCAATAACATACATAAAAATCATGAAACACTTTTTCATACTCAACATTTCTGATGGCACATCCCCGCACAAGCACTGCCGGACGAATGGGATCGGAGAAAACCTCATCTTGTCAATAATATCCAAATTAAATCTAAATATAATTAAATAAATTCCTCTCCACCCCCACCCCCACCCACCCCACCCCACCCACCGCACCCCTCCAAACCCGACCAAGACCATCACGTCAACGCAAGACAAAAAAAATAAAAAAAGGGGGCAGGTTCAGCCAGTGGTCTGAAAATGACGAGTCCCCGTAAGCTTAAAAGATGGAGGTCCACTTCAACTACCCTTTTTCATTTTCCCTGCCCACAATTAAATACTAATCCGACTTTATTCTACCTTTCTTGCAATTCAATTTACTACTACACCGCATTTCCCAAGAATCGCTTCCATTACACACATACACACACTTGACCTGATTCCTCATTCATCACCTCAACATGCTTGGCTCCAAATCTAACTCAAGCCCACAAATTATTCTGTAGTAATTTGGTCTAATATTACTAAATTAAGTACTTATGATTGATTTTCTGAGGTGAGGTTTGAAATCGTGAGTAAGCTTGTGTTGGAAGTGTTGGTTTTGGGAATGGATGTGGGGCAATCGAGGCCGGAGAATCCAGCGATGACGTTTGATGAGGTGTCCATGGAAAGAAGCAAAAATTTTGTAATGGCTTTACAGGTAAGTTCTTAATTCTTGATTTTTTTAGCTATGCTTAGATCTGAGAATGATTTTCTGTGTGAAAAGGATCGTGTTTAATTGAATGGTGTGGTTGACTTTTGTCTTGGTAAATTTTTATTTGATTTTCGAATTGAAGAGTGGAAACATATGAAAAATGAGGTAGAAAATTTCTTCATTAGGATAGGATTCTTCTAATCAAGTTGATTTTCTATGTTTCTTTAAGTAAATTTTGTTTGCTGTAATTTTAATCAGTATAATTTGTTGTCTTTTCAAGGGGAGGGGAAGGGAAGGGCAAGATTTTATTTATTTTCTGGGATTTCAATAATTCTTGACAATTTTGATTTCTTGTAGTTAGTCTGTGTTTATAAATGTATGATGTCGAATTGCATGTCAATTGAAGACGTGGATGCACTTGATTTTGTTCATCAAGCTCGACAGTATATTTGAAAAAAATTAATCTTCGAGTTGATTGTTTGCCGTCAGCCGGTCTCCGTATGATATAATTACTGCTTAAGTGACTGTCTCTTCATGTTTACAGTGCATGACTGAAGGCACATAGAATTTATGCATGTAAGAAGTAGATACATTGTCGGACATTTCTGTGAAGAGTAATAGTTGTTTTTGCATAATATGTTTTTAATTCTCACACAGTGCGAATATTCAATATATTAGTTCTTGTACACGATTTCCTCGGAAAGTAAAAATATAACGACAAGCAGAATAACAAAACCTGTGCAATGACCAAGAAACTAGCTGTTCTCAGTTCATTATGAGAATATTTTTGTCTTCACTGATTTTCTGATAAAGTTAGCAAGTTTTTACAAGATCAGTTGTAACATTTCCATTGAAAATTTGAACTAGCTATGTCTTTGCAAAAACTTTAGATATCTTCATGAACTATTATTCTCGTTTGCAGGTTGGATCTTGTTTCTACTACTTCCCTTACTATGCTTAAAATGGATTTAAATTGATTTATTATTTTATTAAATATTCTAACATTACCTCTAAGTGTAAGAAAATTTATTGCTTATGATTGAATTAACATGTCGTATAGTATTTAGATACAAAGTCTACCATGAAAGCCGAACACTAAATTCTTTG